CACACACACACTCTCACACACACACACACACACACACACACACACACACACACAGACCATTCCCATCCTTGGCCCCCAGGACTGGACCCAACAGGCCCAAATACCCCCATCCCCTCCCTAAAATACAAAGACGCTCTTTGTCCTGTAAACCCTACACACACACACACACACACACACACACACAGCTGTAACAGAGTATAAGACCAACTGCCGTTTAGAAAGGGCTCAGTATAATCAAGCAGTTGTGCATCTCATCATACTGATGTCCTTGTGTGTGTGTGTGTGTGGGGGGGGGGGGGGAGGGGGGGGTCACATGCACACATTTTCAAGGCACCGTGTTACCTGATGATCCATCCACACACTGTGCATAACGTCATCGGTCTTTCCTCCGTCGCTGCCCTTTAGGCACAAATGAGAGTCACTACTTCCTACACCTAATCCAGATGGAATCCCACCACACACACACACACACACACACACACACACACGCTAGAGTGAGCTCACCCACCACACCAACCCTCCTATCTCACGCCCACCTTCAACCCCAACCAAAACGTCCACCATCTGCCACGTCGTCCTCGTCCGACTGCTGCAGAGGTCACGACAGAGATGGACTGACGGAGGCCGGACCATCCCTCTGTCAGCCGACGGGCACCGAGCCTGTCTGACCTCAGCTGGAAAATTAGGGAGTGCTCACCCTGGGAAACTGAGATAAAGCTGTTGGTTTGGAGTTGGTTGTCTTCTGAATGATGGCAAAGAAGGAGGACATTGTGATAGGAGGAGAGGTCGCCACAGTGGTGTTGAATGAATTTTATATTTGGTGCAGATTTTATGCCAAATGTCTTTTCTCATGATGGTTCGTATCACGTTTATAACCAGTATGGAAGAAGATTAAAAAAACCAACAACAACACAGCTTTCAAAAGCACGCTGGCTGATGGACTGGAAAACAGACTTTGGAGATATCAAGATGTTTGGAAGACAGTGCAGTGGAGGTTTTGACCAGGAGACTGAGAGGATGTCTAATGAATAGACAGGGGAGTGTACTGGTTGCGAAGTGAGGCTACAACAAAGATGCTGGTTTTATAAATAGTACTACAGATGTGAAATTTGATTTTATTGAGCAGGAAAGGTCAGAGAAAGCCAGGAGGAACTGCACTACACCTTGTGTCTTTAGTGAAAGCATTTGATTGGTTGTTTAAGGCAGGACAATGGTACTGTTTAGGACAGGTAGGAGTGGCAGAGGAGTACATGAGGGTGGTGTAGGACGCCTCTAACGGACCCCCTTTTTTATTTACTCTGGTGATTCTGACAGATTGGTTCTAGTAGGGGGCTACATGGACCAGGACGCTCACAGACGACACTGTCCTGTGACAAGCTGGAGAGGTGGAGGTGTAAGACATGGGTTAAAATAACGAGACTAAAAGTGATTACAAGAATGTAATATGCACAAATATCCTTCACCTGAAGGTTAACTCCCAATGAAGACAGGACTTGATAATGGATTAATGAAACAGTAGCGTCTGCAGCGACACAGTGATTCACTTCATCTCACACCTGAGCCAAGAAGAGAAGCCCCGCAGCAGTCGCAGGATTAAGGTGACGCCACAACACTGATATAATGTGAGACAAGCAGAACAAGCTCCGCCTGCTGCGTGTGTCGGCTGAAAACGATCGTACCAGTTTTAGTGCCACTGATATCAGTTAATGACATTGGTGTTAACAGTAATTTAAGGCAAATATGAACAAGTGAGACTGCACACACATATACAAATACACACATACACACAAGGTTTATGTCTCACCTCTCTCGGTTTACCACGTGTGGTCAAAGATTTACACTGGGAATATACAAAAAACCTGCCATAAACATCCTGTCTCTAACACATACAAACTAACGCACACGTTGGGTTTTTTTTTTTTTTTCTTTTTTTGAGGACTTTACATTCACCTTACACTGTTACAATGACTATTACCAATACAGTACAAGTCTAATCTCAAACCTTTCCCTAACTCTAATCTGACCCAAAAGGTCATTATAAATCCCAAATAATCTGAACGGCCTGTCAGCTAGTGGGGACCGGCAAGTGTCCCCACAAGGATAAAGTGTCCCCACAAGTACATCTTTGCCAGAACACAGACAAACACAAGCTTTCCCAGGAGGTTCTATGCGTTTCCTTTCAATGTGGTGACCACATGTGTGAGGCGGGAGAACGGAGGAAGAGAGAGGAAGTCTTTGTGTGTACACACACACACACACACAGTCTCTGACACACACTTTAACATCTGGACAGTTGACGTATAGATGTAGAACCAATGACAGAGCCTCTGTGCCAAAGATGAAAAATGAATATTCAAAATACTCGACTGTCTACTTGAGGAATCACAGAAGTTAGTACGACAGATAAGGAGCACGAAGGCCGAGGCCTGAAGGAGCTAACAGTTAGCAACAAAAAAACAAAAAACAGAGCAAAACCAGATTTCCAAAATGAAAACATATAGCAAACGTAGCTGTGTAGCCAAGTGAGAAATGATGCTAGAAAGGTGTAAATGTTGAATGGTGACAAAAAGATTATCACTGAGGGTCAGCAACGTTTAGAAGTTAGTGAAAAAAAAAAATGAGGGTCAGCAACGTTTAGGAGTTAGTGAAAAAAAAAACAAAGTTAACCTGAGGAGGGAGATGGTAAAGCTAGGAAGAAGAAGAGAGAGAGGCTGAGTGCTTCTTCTTCTTCTTTTTTCGCTCTGTTTGTGTGTGTTTTTTTTTGGGGGGGGGGCTGGTCGCAGCTGTCTCTGACAGCTGTATCATGGGAAACATCTGATGAAACATTGCGTCACCTCCTGTGTGTGTGTGTGTGTGTGTGTGTGTGTTTACGTATGTACGTGCAGCTGGACGGTCAACACAGTGAATCCCAGCACAGAGGGATTTTCTACTCCTCCATTTGTGGTGGTTTTGGGGGAAAGGCTTGTGTGTGTGTGTGTGTGTGTGTGTGTGTGTGTCATACACAGTTTGTTTGTGAAGTGGCCTACAAACAAAAAAAAAAAAAAAACAGACTAAGATGGAGTTCCCTAAATTACTCAGAAAAAAAAAAACAGTCCAAGTGTGATACCTCAACTGATGAGAGGCAGCTGTCTGATGAAATGACTGCGTGTGTGTGTGTGTGTGTGTCTGTCTG